CGTAAAGAAGGTAATGGTATGGAATTTGATACATTCGCTAACCATGAGTAATTGAAGTACGATCCACAGCATGAAATAGGCCTCATCCTTAAATATCGTTGTCTTTATTAAGAAAGTAATGGAGTAATCGAGTGGCTTCAGTAAGCCACTCAACCTACGTTTTCTCTTACGGTTGAATCTACAAGATGCAAGTTTATATTTGTGCTAGCATCGTCATTTAAACTGGTAGAGTTATGTGAAAATTAAAACGAGTGTTCCGTTCCGAGTTACCTTGCTTCTCTCTATGTAACACGGGCAAAGCATGATAATAATCTAAATGAAATCTATAACAGTAATAGTAGTAATAAATAAATATAAAGTTATTACATTGAAACTTGGAAAACAAGCATTTATCTCAGGCCCATAACACCGTCTGCGCAAATAAAAACGCCTTATGCTTATTTCTCCTTCATAACTTTTATTTTTCCATGGTGAAAATATCATAATCATCATGTGAATATCATCAGAATCTGAAGTTATAAATTAAAATTTAAACGAACACTTATATTACTTAGTTACTTAGAAGTAGTTAGTTTTATTATTATAAAAATAGTAGGCATGATCAATGCAGAGAGGCAATTGTTTTACGCAGTAGAACCATGCTGCAGTTATATTATAACTGAAGCATGAATGGGTCGGCTCGACCGGTGAAGTATCACGCTCTCACAGAATACAGCGTAAAATAGCAGCTTAATGTTGCTGGGTTTCTTATTCGAGACCCTTTTCACTGGAAACGGGGCCTTCCATCTTAGTCCTCAGGGGCGACAGCGTATCTACATTTTAATTCTTAATCGAGGATAGATGTAGATGTCTATGGACTACAGATACCACTTACTATCACGTGGACTGTGTTCATATCTAATATCCTATAAAAAAAACCGGCCAAGTGCGAGTCGGACTCACGCACCGAGGGTTCCGAACAAATCCGTAGGTATATAAGTTTAAAATTATTAAAAATATTTTTATTGTATGATGTAACTAAAAATTTATGCTTTTCGCAATTTTTCCTTTATCTGTGCTATACGTTGCTTCGTACCAAATTTTAAGATTCTGAGTTCACGGGAAGTACCCTGTAGGTTTTGATTCCCTTGCGAATGTCGAAAATTCGTTTTAAACGACTGTATCTTTTGACACATCGTCTCCAAGGGACAGTAGACTTGAGTATTTGATATGAATTTCAGCTTGATACCTCCACGCGTTCCTGAGAAAAAGGGTCTTGACAGACAGACAGACGGACAAAAAAGTGATCCTATAACGGTTCCGTTTTTTCCTTTTGAGGTACGGAACCCTAAAAATACTTAATTTCCATTTCAATAAACAAATTTTATGGGGTTGGGGTTTACGCGGACCCTGATATCTTAAGATGATTTTGTTGTTGACGGTTTCGTAAACTGATGTTGCTCCGGCGGCATGCCTCCATGCCTCTTGGAAAACGTAATTTGTACTGACTATGGTGGTATTAAGTTCTTATTAGATGAGAAGTTAAATGCGCCTACAAAATTGTAATGGAAATCAAAATAAAAGTCGAACACTGCACAAATGTTTGTTGTAAATACTTAGGCAAAAACAGACTGTCAAAACATTGATCAGTCAAAAACCGCTAGAGTATTGCTGTCGGACTTGATGGCTTGCATGAATATAATTTTTAAATTGGGTGTGCGTGCGATTCGGGGTCTGCCATCACTGTCAACTTCCCATTTGATAGATTCGATTTTACCGAAACTGAATTTAACATGTGATTTAACGTCGGTTGATGACATCATGGTATTGTCTTTGAAGTATGTTAATGTTCCATGATAGACAATACTATTTATTTGATTGGTCATACCGTTATAACGTTATAAATTTTAATTAACATCGCTTATTATATCTATATAATAACCAATGTTAATTAAAATTTATTACCAATAATCATAGCTCTATAGATAAATGCTGTTTCATTCCTAAAGGATCTTCCATTACCTATAATACAGTCTATAAAAGCTTTAAAAAAAAGTTCCTTCGCAAACATCCGCTCTATAAAATTAAATTAAATTAAGAATTATTAACGGTCAGCCCCGTAGAGTACATCACCTGAGGATGCCTTGTGTAGAGGCGAAACACGTGTCGTATTGTCGTCAGTGGTATTTCTTTCCTAGTGTAGTGGTGTTGGGAGTAGTGGTACTGGGATTAGTGGTGACGGGGATAGTGCACGCAATTGAAGGAGGGCGGGAGGTGCTTTTCATACTAGGTAAGCACACATCATTTTATTTTATAGAGCGGATGTTTGCGAAGTAACTTTTTTAAAAGCTTTTATGTAATGAATTTTCGCAAAGTAACGCCTGATTCTATTAATTATATAATATAGTCCACAAATCACATGGGACGACTGGACAGGGACCACTTCAAGAGGACCCGTAATCTTTGTCGTCTGACCTTTTCTTTTGAGAAAGGGGTGGCAGACGCTCTTTTGTATAACAAATAATCGTGTAGTGGTGGTGTTAGAATATCCACTACCCCATATCATGCCGTGGGTGATGTAAGAGGGAAACTGAAATAGGAGATGGCAGCAGAATCTTATTGGTAACAACACAAAATTATAAAAACTGCGGTTTCCAACCCGCCTGCCAAGCGTGGCAACTATGGTTAAATCTGCCCAATGATGCAATCCGTGGGGGAAACCTATATTTAGCAGTGGAATTTTATAGGCTGTAATGGAATAAGATGATGATATAGGATATTAGAATCCTTCATAGGCAATACTAATTTCATTGCCCATGACGGTAGATATAATAATCGATATTAATTAAAATTTATTACTAACTAGCTGTTCCCCTGCGACTTCGCCCGCGTGGGATTTATTGCGATTGGATTTTATGAGTTTTAATTTTTTTGCACGGAACTCTAATTCTTTTTCTAAAATAAAAGTTACTTATTATAACATCAGCTATATGTCAGTGAAAGTCCCATCCAAATCGGTTCACAGGTTTTTACGTGATGCGTGTTCAGACAGGCGTCGTGTTATATTTTTATTATAGTAATAAATAGATAGATAATTATAGCTCTATATTACACATATTAATTTTTTTATATTTATACAAACAGCCGCGACATCGTAATAATATCTTTATTTCTCCAATCAGTAAACATGTACCTACATAACCAATAGATGTAATCTGTGTATACAATACTTAAGTATAATAAATACTCTTTCTTGCTAGCTTTAAATCACTTTTATGTTCTAAATCTAAATCTAAATCTAGATTTCACATCGTGGCTGCACTTTCTAAGTCAGCCTTAATACGCGCCAGGAATTATTTATTGTTCAAAACAGTTAGCAAATTATATTACCTTTTAGAAGGACTTTTACGAACCGTGAGTGATTCACCGTTTTATTATACTTACAGCGTGGTTAATTTACAGTTCAACAACATCATTCGAAAACAGCGATATTCTAGCTACGAAAATTTAACATTAAAATATATACACCGTAAAAAAACCATAATAAAAAAAACTTAATTTATCATACAGTCCTACTTCCCGCGGTATAGTGCCAAGAACACTGGCTGTGTTTCCTCACTGGCTATATTTAGCCTTTAAGCGAGAGAAGAACTAGCTAGAACTCTTATTACCAGTAATGACGTCCACAGACTCCACGAACTGATAGTCTCTACAGCAAATGTCACAAATATGTAGTAATCTCTCAGAAACTCATATTTGCGCCTTTTACTTAGTTCATGTAGAAATTATGTAGAAAAGTCATGTAGAAAGGTCTTAGGTTTTTGGTTTTAGGTTAGGACTTAGCTCATGTAGAAAGAATGAATGAGGAAAGAGTGACAAAGCAAATTTATGTTGCAGAAGTGAACGCCAGAGTTGGGAAGGGACGCCCAAGGCGATGTTTTATCGAACAAGCGACCACCTTTAAACTCATTAAGCCAGTTGTAAACAGTGGCACGAAATGGGGCTTCATCGTGAAAGACCAATCGAAGTCTACCGTAACTTTCTTGCTCAGTTAAATGACATCGAAAGTCATAAAAATCGTTATATAAAATTTTTCTCGCGTTAAATTCATGCTGACGTGACACAGACAATTTTCAATTTGCCAAATCGTAAACAAATTACAAATTAATAAAATACATACAAAATGATATTGGCAAAGAGTTCCATTTTCAAAATTTGAATTTATTTTTTATTATATCGTTTACAAGTGGCCAGTTCTGAAAACTTTCGGTGTCGCCCTCGTATATTGAAAATTAAGATTAACCTTCACCGATGGGCATGTATGCGATAAATGCTGGTTATGGATGTGGGTGTGGATGAGGCGAGAGAAGTGTGCCAGGATCGTGCCAAATGGAAATCCGTAGTCTCTGTCTGTGAGTGTGCGTATTATGTATTACTTAGTTCAGCCGTATACTCTATTCATATAAAATAATGCACTCCAGACGGAATTCTGGTCACGGCGGCCGGATTCTACTGAGAATAGTCATTTGCGCGGGACAGTATTACAGTGCTCGAGTTCTTCGAGTGTGTGTGAAAGTATTGGTGCACTGTCTATTCCTTCACCCTTATCAATGGCAATTTGACACGAGTTTCCGAAGAACGGGGGTAAACACCGCCAACTTTCCTGACTTCAATAATTTCTCGACGGAAAAACTCGATAACTTATTTTTGTTTTGGGCCCAACCCGAACGCGGGACCTCAAGATGTACAGCTGCGTTTCCGACCTTTCACCCAGTTACAAATAGATATTAATACAGTAACGCCGCAACAGTGCATTACCAAAACTAATTAATACCTTTCTTGTTTCAGATCACAATCAACACGTTCGAGAGTAATTCAATAATGTCCTAAATCAGTTAACAGTTCGATTATTGTTATAAAACTATGACATCGAATCGTGCTATTAGCAAGTGAAGTGCAGTGAAGTGTGAATCAAGCAGTGACATACGAAAGTGATACTTCCATTAAATTCAAGGTTCAAAATGGAGGCTCTAGAAAGAAGAGGAAAATTATTGGCATACGCGGCAGTAATGTTTATCGTGTTTTGGTCGCAATGTAAGTATTATGCATATAAAGTATTTCGTATGTGGTAGAGCCATGCTACAGCTATATATATTGTATAGTTGTAGCACGAATGAGTCGGCTCGACCGGAGAAGGACCACGCTCTCACAGAATACCATCGTAAAATAGCAGCTTAATGCTGTTGTGTTTCGTATGGTGAATGTAGAGAACCGGAGGCCCTTTTTACTCTTTCTTCTCACGGCTGACAACGCATCCGCATTTTGATTCACAAAGGAGGATAGATATAGAAGTCTATGGGCCACAGCAACTACTTAACATAGGTGGACTGTGTGCTCACTTGTCACCCTTATCCTATAAAACCATTTAATTTTTATTTCAGTTTTTACTTGGTTAAGAGGAATCAAAATATATGAAAAGAGTGGTTCAGAGTCAGAACATCGCCTCATATTTTATAGTACCGTTACCGTTACAGCCTACAAAAGTGCACTGCTGAACACAGGCATCTCCCATAGATTGCTACATGGGGGATTTTGTCATAGTTGCTACGCTTGGCAAGCGGGATGGAAAACGCAGTTACTTTTATTTTTTAGTTGTTATTAAGAAGACGCTACTACCTATATCGTGGTTTGTTTCCCTCTGTCGCCTCTTACTACACCCACGGGACGATATGGGGTATTGGATATTCTTACAAAAAAGTTTTGTTTATCGTGTTAGATATCATAGATTTCCACTAAATATAATATGACACGTATTTTTAATACAAGTAAAGTTGAGAAGCGAACAAATAGTCCACCTCTGAAGGTTAGACATTGCTGAAGCCCATGGAAACTACATCAATCACAAATTTAGTATAAGTATTCAGATTATTTACCACACCTGAGGACTAAGAATCAATGCTTAAACAAAACGTAAACTTTTAAATTACATAGAGTATTGTCAAAAGATATCGTTAAATATTTTAAATCTATTGATGTTAAGAAAACGGCAGACTTATGGGGGATTTCCGTTAAAGTTATTGCATCTATAATAGATACTATAGCACCTTATCTAGCCGCAATTTTAATACAAGCGTCGAATCTGGTGTATTTCCAGATCTAATGAAACATAGTAAAGTCATACCTTTATTTAAATCTAGTAGTACTTTAGAGCCCGCCAATTTCAGACCAATTTCTGTACTACCAACATTAAATAAAATTTTTGAAAAAAACATTTTAGTTCAGCTGTTAAATTTTTTTAATATAAATAAATTGCATCATAAAAATTAATTTGGTTTTACAAGGGTTCGTTCGACTACCGACGCCAGAGTCGAACTTATAAAACATATTTTTTGTGCATGGGAAAATTCGGAGGATGCTTTTCATGTGCTTGTGACCTTTCCAAGGCCTAGGACTGTGTTCACCATGATACATTAATCAGGAAGCTACAGTACTAGGGTGTAAAGAACACAGCGCTTAAACTTATTATTTCATATTTATGTAATAGAATGCAGAAATTTATTATCAATGGTAAAAGTTCTTCCATCTTGTCCGTAAAGATGGGTATCCCTCAGGGCTCGATTCTTGGTCCATTCCTATTTTTAGTGTATATTACTTACCTTCCCTTGTAGGGGATAATCATGATGTAATATTATTTCCTGATGATACTTCCTAAATTTTTATACTTAAACGTCTATCATTTATATATGACGAAGAGAATAATGCTATATCAAAATTAGTGCATTAGTTTAACGTTAATAATCTGCATATGAACGGCAATAAAACTAAATGTATTAAATTTACAACAACGAATGTTAAAAAACTGAATGCCAATGTGTTTTTAAATGGGGAAGAAACCTTGTTGAATCTTTTGTTTTTTTTGGCATCACTCTCGGCGCAAAGGTTCAGTAGGGCCCCCATATATCCAAACTAGCAAGCAGACTCAGCTCTGCAGCTTATGCTGCTAAAAAGATTAGTTTATTTCAGTTATTTCTATAGCATAATGTTTTATGGGATTTTGCTATGGGGCAATGCGGCTGATTTAGAAACTATTTTTGTTTTGCAGAAGAGGGTCATAAGAGCTATTTACAACCTTAAACCAAGAAAGTCTTTTAGACAATCATTTAAATAAATAAATATATTAACTTTGGCCTCTCAGTATATTTACGAAAATTTAATGTATGTTCACAAAACCAAAGAGTTTTAGTAAAAAAAGTGATAAACACTCTGTAAACACTGGGAACAAACAAGCTAGTGATCTGGTGTATATATATATAAGACTGGTCTTTCGACTCCACAGAGTCGGTAATTCATTCTTGGGGCAATGTATACCATATTACAACAAAGTCCCAGAAAATATAGAAGGTATCTCTATTACCAAGTTTAAATATTTAATTGAACAAAAGCTGCATAAAAAGGGTAATTATAATATAAATGAATACAAGGTTGATAATAACCCCTGGGAATGACGTGGTCGCTTCCAAGCTGTTTCTAAAATAAATTTTGTAAATAATTTGTAAAAATATATATTGTAAAATTTATTTAAAAAAAAGTCCCGCTGGGTTTCTTGCTGGTTCTTTCCAGGACAGAGGGATTTTTTCAAACCAGGGGTAAAGAAAAAAATGACTTTCAATAAGAATTACTTATAATCAATATTGAATAAAAAATATTCTCTTCTATTCTAATATGGAGACGGCAACTTTTAGTAAACTCTCATAAGACACACAAAGTATTTTTTATTGTTATAAAACTGCAATGACAAAAGAACATCCAGACCGTTGGTAGATGGCATCTACAGCCCATGGATACCTGCAGCCAACTTCAAACAAAGAAGGCTGTAAACAAAGAGGACTAAGATGGAATGCCTCTTTTCGAGTAAAATGGGTCTCCGGTTCTCTACACTCACCATACGAAACACAACAGTATTAAGCTGCTATTTTACGCTGGTATTCTGTGAGAGGGTGGTCCTTCCCCGGTCGAGCCGACCCATTCGTGCTACAACTATACTACTAATATAACTGCAGCATGGCTCTACCACATATAAATACGCACTATTAAGGATAACTCAAAAATTACTAGTTAGATCTTGATCAAATTTATATGGGACTACATGAGAAACACCAGCTGTCAAATAAAAAAAGAATCATCAAAATCGGTTCACCTAGAAAAAAAGTTCTAAAGTAACACATGCGTGTGTGTCGTGGAACGAAGCTCTTTTCGTAGTATATTATTATTGATAAACGTATTATATTATTGATAAACAAACACAAATAAATGATTTACTAGGGTCTATTAAAATGAAGCGTCATTTAAAATAATATTTCTTTCATGGCAAGATAAGAAAAAGTGCGGAGGAGAGGAAACATCCGCCGAATTCGTACCGTGCGATAAGGAACTTCGTTCCAAAATACAGTTGAACTGAAAACCTTTTGTAGTTGTTTGAAAACAGACAAAACGATGTCACGTAAAAGCGTCACAAATACCTCAACGTTCTTAGATAAGAAGCGATTACACATCTTACTGTATCCTTGTTAATATGAGACACTGGAGTCGCACGTAACGCATTAGCGATATGTTCGGACAGATGCTACATTATTCATTGCAAGTGCACGGTTTATCATGCGGACGGCTTTGAGCGCCTATTCAGTTTATGCTAACATAATGGGTGACATACAAATTCATTAATACTGGTATTGACTATTCATGAGAGTGGGAAATTTGGTGGTTGTATGCATATATTATGTAATTTGAAATATGCATTTGCATTATGACAGAAGCTTTTTTTTATAGAATAAGGTTCACGAACGAGCACACAGTCCACCTGATAGTAAGTGGATGCTGTGGTAGAGACATCTACATTTATTGTTAACTTAGAATTAAAATGCAGATGCGTTGTCACCCAAAAAAGGGTCTCCGGTTCTCGGTATTCTGTGAGGGCGTGGTCATTCCACGGTCGAGCTGACTCATTCGTGCTACAAATCATAATAAACTGCAGCATGTTCCGCAGAACCACGCTCTCACAGAATACTTGCGTAAAATAGCAGCCTAATGCTGCTGTGTTTCGTATGGTGAATGTAGAGAATCGGAGACCCTTTTACTGGAAACGGGGCATTCCATCTTAGTCCTCAGAGGTGACAACGCATCTATATTTTGATTCTTAAGTGGGGATAAATGTCCATAAGCCACAGCATTCATTTACCATCAGGTGGACTGTGTTCTTGTCTGTTACCCGTATTCTGTTAAAAAAAATTCACTTTAAGGATTTTTATGAAACTTTAGCATGACATGGACGCTGTTGATGTACCTAAATAAAAATATATTATTGTACCTAAAAAAATATTATACTCTTTGGATTATTTTTTTTTTATTATCATATCAACGATAAGTTCTTTTCATAGTTGAATGATTGCCAATTTGCTGTTGGGTGAGCTAACAACGAGAGGTATAGTGCTACCAACTTTACTGTTCAGTTGACAGAGTTGCTAGTGGAGAGCATACTATAGCCACTTAAGAAATTTACCGCGTAAATTGGTGACAAAATAATCATAACATATTAGTATAGAACAATGAACATAAAACTTACCTACCTTCATAATTGTTCGTCATATATAATTATTATACAGAATTTAACAGTTCATCATCATCATCATCTCAACCCATTGCCGGCTAACTACTGAGCACAAGAGGGTTTAGAGTTTAGACCATAGTTTGCCACATTGGCCAAGTGCGGATTTGAGATAATTTTGAAGAACTCTCAGGCATGCAAATTTTCTCACGATATTTACCTTTGCCATTTAACAGCTAAAGAATTATAATTAAGAAATAAAAAAAATTTAGTGTTATTATTATATATTTTATAATAATAATAATAATAATAATAATAATATAATTTATTTAGTTCTAAACAAAAACACAAATTAACATAACAAAATAAATTAATGGAATGGAACTAAAATGGCGTCTACTCAGCACAAATGTTATAGAAACCACATAGTGATAACTATAACGCTGATTTTCAGTAAACGCCAGAGTCATAGGCGCAATAAAATAAACTTAGC